GGTATAAAAACGTCACCTATACCATTGGTACAATAGATAGAATTATATAGTAAATAAAGAGCTATTGTTACAGAAGTCTATTAAAATGGTCAATAGTTCATCAATAAGATATCTATGTTATATAACACATCATAATTTTGCACCGAACACCATATAGAGAAAACCTACTTTGTTCATCATATGCAACCTTTAGACACCAAACTCAACTATAGTACCTAGTGCTTTGAACTTCTTTTAATTTTATGATATACAGTGACTTTAAAACAGAGCTAGATCACACTGTAATGGTTTATATCATAGCTGCCAGGTGTCAACAAGTATTTATAAATTGTTTCACATTAAGGTTACTAGCAATTAGGATGTCCACGATGAAATTAGATATATCATACAAATTGTGTCGTAAAAAACACAATTGGTAAATTGTCTATGCTCAGGCCTACGGGCAGTTCAATATAAAAATAAAGCTTTCAGTATGACGTCAGATATAGCATGACTATACTAAATTGGCATCATTTTAATGGGACATATTCGCCATCCAATTGACCATTCGTACCTTAACCTCAGAAACATATAATTTAGCTAAACTAATCAGTAATAGTATTCACAGCCCACAGTCGAAATTTGAGCCTCCAAATCCATGTGTCCAGAATTATCCGTGTGAAAATGACGAGAGTGCTTGGAACTCTGCCAAATATATAGAAAATAAACATTATATTAAAATAGAAAATAGAATACCTAGTTTGAAGTATTTTTGAAGGAATTATGCGTTTTTCGTACTTAATTCTATTCTTAATTCTATCATTATAATAGAGACTATTATCTTATATTCAAAGCACATCCCCTAAATTGCGTTCTGTCCCTTTAAAATGGTAGGATACACAACGCAGGAAAAATAATATCTAAATATAATGATGAATTTGATCTCTCAAATAGTTCAAATACACAGATATTCTCATAAAGGCCTATACATGTATATCAGAGGGCACAGAAAAACGATAACACTTTTCAATTCACTATTTTTTATAAAGTATTAAAGCTATGATATTATTTTGACCAAATATATTTTTTGATCTAAGACATCTTGTCATCAAATTACAATTACAACCATTTTGAAATACCAGTCTTTATAAAATTCCATGTAAAAAAAGTATATTTTCTGAGCCAGCCGATATAATTCCGATTGCTGTAATAAAATGCAATACGCTAAAATATCAAAACGATCTTCTTATGAAAATCAACATAAGCATATTTTCTAAGACGTCAATGCTACTTCAACATTTGGTCATTTGCTGGACTTCTTTCAATGAAAGATTGACAGAAATAACCCATAAAATGATCAAACTTATCAAAAACGTATAGCAACAGATAAGTTAATACATAGCAAGCGAGATATAGTCTAATACGCGAAGAGTTACGTCCCATTTGTATTCGATAATAATTTGCTCTCAAGTATTAGCCTCAATATTCAATGTGCAAATTTGTCTGTAGGTCTACATTCTTTGAGTCTTCTTACTCTTACTGTCAAATTAGAATGCAGGTTTATTACTGGAAGACTCATTCGTAACGTAGTACCAACACACGAATTCTCGTCAGAAGATGTAAAAGATAGGATTCATTCAGGGGTCGCTAATTTTACCATGGTAGAACATAAAATACACTGAGCCTATTGATGATGGAGAAGTGGATGATTTCAATTGTACTTCGGCACAGATCGCGATGGAAACACAGGGACGCGAGCGGACGGCCCCGTGGTTTCTGAGGGGGAATACGAGACTACCTCTCTAAACAGCAGGTCCCCACCAAATTTATCAATTATTATTATGATAACTTAGCAGCTTTTATTTTTTAAATTGGTTAAAGAAAGCTCTCTGGCTCTTCGAGTCATCAAGCTGTTCTGTTAAACACATAAGATATTCTAAAGTTGACTAAAGCAAAATAAATCACCTAAGGAAGTGGGATCAGAAGATCAGAGTTTTCTACACGATAGTATAGCATCAAATCACAAATATACAATTACATTTTTACATTACTCTTTAATTTCAATCACTATTCAAGAGATGTTTTCTAGACATTTACTTCTCTTGAAATCTGTGTCCAATATTTTGTTTGGGTTACCTCAGGCGAATATTTGGATCAACATTATCAAGAATCTAAAAGGGTTAAACATCACCCCTAATAGTATCTCTTTTATCGTGATACGTAACATATCATGGCGTGATACTAGAAAAAAATATAAAGTAGTCTGAGGTATGAGTGGGGTCGAGATTTTGGTCATATCTCTTCCAGAATATAAAAACAGCTTTGTTTCATTCCATTAATCGTGGTCTATAAAATATGACAAAATAATCGTTAGGAAAGAATATACCAAGAATAGAGCAGGATAGAACATCTTCACAATGTCAAGCTATAACCAACTTCCTACTTATACCTTGAATGCAATAGTCACCTTTCTTATGTCATAGAAGTTTGTAAATGAAGCGATTTCATTGGATTGAAAGTTCGACAGAAAGTCTGTGAACTCAGAGCCGTCATGTTTACAAGGTATAAGTAACAGCTCAACATAGTGAGTAAGGATAACCTCAGAATAAACAAGTGAAGTTTATAAGCTTTAATGAAATTTAAAACACAAAATAAAGTTGCAATAAAGACAAATGACAGAATCTACTACCGAAGTATACACACCAACACAATCCTCACCTCCTCGCCCTTCAATCAACCATCTTCCAGCTACACCAGTGTTTAACCTTATGACTGTAAGAGCAATATCCGGCATCCCCTTTATGGAACAAATTACCTGGTTAAACTATCTCGATCTCTTGCCCCCTTTAAATCTTGCGTTGGACTTTTTTCTACAGTATTAATATACAAGAATAACACATACCTCATACTGGCTGAAGTGTCGTTCACTGAAACGACAGGTACTGTTACCAAGGACCCCTGCTTGCAAAGTGACTGAAAATGATATGCACATTGGTTTTGAATCTTAACCCGTGTTATCAACTCACAAATGATATTTTTTGTGGAAATTATACGATTGGTGAGGTGTACCGTAACATCCCTCGTACACAATGCTACAAACATATTGGTAGTAAAAGAAGGCATATTAAACCAGCCAAGGTTACCAGCAACTCCTTCTGATCAGAAATCACCAACTAATCAAAAACTGAAAACAATGGTGTTAGTTTGTGGTTAATATTTCTATAGTAACTATCCTGAGTACTATTCAACCTTACTAACTCTTTAAGTTTCAATTCTATAAACTATTTAAAATTCTAAATGATGGGGGCGGGGTTGGAAGATAGTTTTTTTTATGATTTTCAATTTAGTATAAGACACTTTCTGCAAACTGTTATTAGCTTTTCATGGTGAATGGGAGGAGGGAAAAATGGAAAATGAAGATGGTGAAAAAGAAGAAAAATTCTTCTTTGAAGGTAATATTGCCAGGTCGACAGCCTCCTCGATTTGCCATTTTTGGAGGTTGATTTGGGTCTTGAAAATATGAAAATCGTCTCAAGAATATACGAAAATCGAATAAATTCCTAACTAGTATTTTACATTTCTATCTCTATATATGACAGAGTCCCAAGAAAAGACGAGTCGTCATTGTAACTTTCAAAAGTGGTTAATTAGATTCGCAACTTTCGGGGATTGATTTGGGTCTTATATTATGTAAATCGTCTTCAGATGAACAACAAATGTACGAAAATCGCACTTTCAAACGCGGATAATTCTGGACACAAATTTCTCAAAATTCTACGGTGGACACTATTACTAATTATCTTTACAAAAAAAAATCATGTTTCTGAGACTAAGGTACGACTGCTCAAACGGATGGCGAACTTGTCCGTTCAGATAATGTGCTTCTGTAGTTAATATCAATTACAAAACATTTCTATCGGTTTCACTAATGACAATGTTTTTAATTGCATATCCTATAAACATACCTGATATTTTGATCATTGATTAGCTATCGTAACGTATACCGTACATATACCTTTATCGCCTGACTGACTACAATGAATACAATGTTTACTATATACTGAATAGAAGTGTCAAGTTCTAAACAGATTCACCTTTTACCATTAATAGAAGTTTATAATAATCATTTTACACTCAATATCGTTACTATTGTAGCGGATTTATGCATATCATATACGGTTAGTGTAATGTGAAAATATTTCCCTTATTCAAATGATTTAGATTGTTAAATGGAAAGGGCGTGTAGGCAAGTGTATCTATTAAACCAACCCTTATATTAATGATATATTAGTAATATGGAACTCAATTCAGTTCTATTGTATCTAAATATTACTTATAAACTAATGAAGAAAGAATAAAAGCTGAATGTTTGACACTTCTAAAACTTGAATACAAAAAGTTCTAAAGATAGGTCAATACCTTGGTGATTTTGTTAACATTTAGGTTGGTTTTATTTTTCAATGTATATAACAAAGTTTTGAAATTGAAAGGATACCTAAAGCAATGTAAGTTAACCATCTGTATCTACTACTGTAATTTATTGAAAAGTTGTATACATTACAATCATGAAACAAAAGATGTTTAAAAGAGTAACCGTCGCGTTGAAACGGATTTAAAATAAGGACATTCATGGACAAGAACGGTACTACATGTATATTGTTTGAAATTTAAGCAACGTAGAATTAGAACTTTTGACCACAGAAATCTTCCATATTGAACACGATTGGAACATATTTGAACACCGCTTTAGTGAATTTGCCCTATACCAAGGATTGATGTTGTTTAAGTTGAATTGCCCAATTAACATTGTATCTTTAACAAAATCAATGAGTAACTGAAATATGTTAATACAGATATGTTTCTATTTTAATTGCCCCTTAGAAAACAATTGTTAAAACAATAAGCCTTTTATATATTATAATATCAATTTTAGCTTGACGACAATCTTAATCTTTATCAAAATCAACAATTTTATCTTTTAGGATGTAAACTCAACAAATTTCACGACGTTTTAAATCAACATGGATTTCCTATCGCCCAAGGATCATGGAGGACAGTTTTCTAGTAGATCGGGGTCCATTTCTGGACTGGGTACTGCCAGATCAGGATCTATATCACAGATTCCTGCAGGTCTAGATGGATTAAATACCAAGCATCGTGGTTCCTTGTTTCCGAGTTCTGTGACTGCACGGTCACCGACGCCTGAAACTAAAGTAGAAGACGCAATCGCCATGTTGGAAGTTGGACAAATGCCACGGTATTCTGTGGATCGTAGTGGATCTATTTCAATCATGACCGGGAGAAAATCCAGTGCTCGACCATCTATCGTACCTCCAGCATGGAAGACTCTAATGAAAGCTATGTTTCCTATTGTTTCTGGGAAGAAAATGTCTATAAATGAGGTAGGTGCTCATTTTATATACGGCGCATCTCATGTAGCAGAAGTATATAATCTATTTTATTGTTAATCACTTTTATATATAAAAAAAACTCACTATACTGAAGTTGGCCATCTTTGGCTACTTAGAAGTAAAATTTGGGATCACTGACGTTGAACCAACGTTCAGATTGTTCCAGATGTAGCTTACATGCAGATACAGCAAAAATACTACTTATTTGGAATGTATTAAAATAACTGTCATTAGGGTGGGGTCCGTAGGGACTGGGCACCAGCAAGTAAGAATTCAGCCCAGCAAAACCTTCTATATCTAAAATCTATATATCTACAAAGATACAGATTTTGGTGTTTTTGACAACTAAATATTATCAGAAATGAGTTCTCTGGGCCTTAAAATCATATTTTCTGAGTACAAAATTCATTGCTGGCCACGGAGCTGCAACAGGTGTGTTTAGGCAAGTACAGAGCTTGTACTTAATTTCAAGGACTGTATAGGGTGTTATAATATGATACCTATTTACACAGTGCTAGTTGTCGAATTCTTATTCTTTTATTTACATTAACCAAACTATTACAGTACATTATATTTACATTGACATATATTAGTAATGATATAATATTTACATTGACACTCATAAAAGTATATTGTATTTACAAATGACATTGAATAAACTTTGTAGTAATTTGATAATGCACACTATTTATGACCAGTTTTATCTAAATGCTACTTGCACTACATGATGTTCCCTAGAGTACTGAAGTACTAATATCCCATTGAAGGGTACCAATGAACACCAATAGGGTTAGTAGAAAACCTTTCAAACCAATTTTAAATATGTATCACCTATTCACCAATATGTGCTTTCATTTTGATGGGCAGAGGAGAAATTGTAAGTTTTGTTGTACCAGGGATATAGACTGTAATAACTAATATTCTAAATTAGGTGTAGCTGTAAATGGGTATGGATAATCCAGCAAAGATCAAAGCCAAGAGGTTTGGCTAAGCACCAGCTGGTAGAAAGGATAAGTAACTGTTAACCTTAGGTGTTATCATTGTAAAATATGGTTGTTTCTTTTCTTTTTTTCTTTAAGTCATGCATGATAAGCTCAGTGGAGGTGCCATTTGCCCCCCTAGAAAAATGGTTTGTATCCCCATTTGTTCCACCAAAATTTGATTTTCTAGTTTTTTGCCCCAAAATATGTGTCAGAATAAACCAATCATTTCAATTTTTCAAAAAATTTAGGACAATCCTCTCAATCAATTAATGTGAGGCTTGTTCCTATGTGCTTTCACATAGCAACCAAATTTTGAATCACAACATAGACAGTTGTCCCCCCAATTTCTCAGTCTGCCCCATATTTGTACTCCCAGTCTCAGGAGACAGCCACTGGAGGAGCTAATTTATTTATTTCCAAATCAAATATCTTAATGCCTTATTTCACCATGAATTCTGGCTTAAAACAGCTTTTTAAGAGAATTTTATTTAAAAAAATTGAATATTTTGAGCATTGGTAAAAGGTGAAGATAAAATTCATCATACAAACATATTAAAGATTAACTAGATTTCCACATATACTAGTAATTATATCCAGATAGTAAAAGCACTAACAATTTTTGCAGAATTTCACTTATTTAGAGTATTCATTTTATTAAAGAATATGTATAAGAGAAAAGTTGTTTATGTCTTGTATATGATATGTCTATGAATATAATATGTAGATTAAATAAGGATTATATATGTACCTGATAAAAAAAGAAAATATTCTGATTACATGTTGTGTTTTTAATTTACATGTAGATATATCTATTGATATAATATAGAAGTTTATATTTAAAGGCCTCATATCAAGTATTATTCTATATTGTGATAGTCTATCAGGTGTGTTCTGAATTTAGAAAAAGTGGAAACTATCTTTGTTGGCAGTAATTCTGTAGAATGAGAAGATATGGAATTTGTGATATTATCAGCTTGAAGGTTCCATATTTGAGGATGGCTGAAGCATAATTGATTGGACCATTGGAATCTTTACATGATGTCATTTTCATGGTTATATTGAACAAATGGTGGTCTAAGGTTCTAATCTTGGTTAGCGTGTGGAAATCTGGTGTCATCTTTCCTCATTATTACAGTCAGCAATGCTGCATACCTAACAGATAATCAGGGAAAGATCAATGACAAGAGGTTTGGTCAAGGACCAATTGGTAGATAGGATTCTTGTGAACCTTGTTGTTTCTTGTTATTCCACACTTCATTACCACAATTACTTTAGCCTATGTAATGAGTCAGTCATGCTATGATCATGGTCATGGATCAAGTGATGCTATATTAAATTTGGCTATGTCAATTTGGCATTTTATGGAAGGTCAACATAGCTATGAATAATTTTGATAATTGACATCATAAACATGTATTAAGTATGAATTCATGTTACTTATTGCAGAACTGGCATCAATTTCTATTGTAGAGTATGTTTCTTTTTGATTTCTACAAAATATAAAATTACTGGTAACTATACCTTTAATAAGAGATAGAGAGATATAGATAGAATATGTAAGAGAATCTGTTAAATAATCAATATAAACAATACAGTCTTATTTACTATATCTTATATTATTATATTGTCAACAATCTTAATACACATTGATTTTGGATCAAACTGATTCTTTTTTATAGAATTTTTTTACATGGAATATAATATTTGTGAAACTGATTGAATTTTTTTAAATAGAGAGAGTTGTGAAAAACTGTGAACTCAACATAATTTAGGGAATATTATTTTACAAGCTAAGAATTTGGAATAGTGAAATAACATAGCTTTGATTTGAAAATGTGATGGATAATATTATAAACAAATTTTTGAAATGTAAGAAGTTGTTAAGAATTTGAATAAAGTTCAAAAACCACAAAAATGGACATATGCCATCCATATTGAAGAAGTGTTTGCATATTTTAAACTACAGGTGAATCAAAGAGAAATTTGCTCTTATTTGGAAACTTTTTAAACTATAACATATGAGGATTTACATGGATTTGTTTTATCATATACCAATAATGACGTTATAAATTTTTTCTTTGAGTATCAAAAGAAAAAGTTCATTAATTTAGAGTTTTAAAAAAAGCATCACCATGGATCTTAACAAATTACTATTGCCTAAAAGACGTTTCACTCTGTCTACTGATAGAATTGTCTATAATATGTGTCAGGAAATGAACACAATAAGACAAAAAGTGTTAGAAGAAAAACGTTATATTAAATTAAGTTTAAATACTTTTGTTGAAAAGGATATCCGTGAACGAAATATTAAAAGTGCCCCTGCTAGAAGATGGGTAAGAATTAAAATCATGTTCTTTAAGCTGTTATCATTGTTAATGAGTCTTTATCATGTTCATTTATTGTTCAGTATTTGTGAATTGTTCTTCACCTGTTATCGTGTTCATTGTTCTCTATTTCAAAGTGTTCGAATAGCTGTTATTTGTATAATGTTATTTTTTCATTCATTACTTTGTTACAATTGTTATATTGATATCAGTTGGTATCATGTCATCACATGTTATTAATATCAGTTAGTATCATGTCATAACATGTTATTAATATCAGTTGGTATCATGTCATCACATGTTATTAATATCAGTTGGTATCATGTCATCACATGTTATTAATATCAGTTGGTATCATGTCATAACATGTTATTAATATCAGATGGTATCATGTCATCACATGTTATTAATATCAGTTGGTATCATGTCATCACATGTTATTAATATCAGTTGGTATCATGTCATCACATGTTATTAATATCAGTTAGTATCATGTCATAACATGTTATTAATATCAGTTGGTATCATATCATCACATGTTATTAATATCAGTTGGAATCATGTTCATGACATGTTATTAATATCAGTTAGTATCATGTCATCACATGTTATTAATATCAGTTGGTATCATGTCATCACATGTTATTAATATCAGTTGGTATCATGTCATCACATGTTATTAATATCAGATGGTATCATGTCATAACATGTTATTAATATCAGTTGGAATCATGTTCATGACATGTTATTAATATCAGTTGGTATCATGTCATCACATGTTATTAATATCAGTTAGTATCATGTCATCACATGTTATTAATATCAGTTGGTATCATGTCATCACATGTTATTAATATCAGTTGGTATCATGTCATCACATGTTATTAATATCAGATGGTATCATGTCATCACATGTTATTAATATCAGCTGGTATCATGTCATCACATGTTATTAATATCAGTTGGTATCATGTCATCACATGTTATTAATATCAGTTGGTATCATGTCATCACATGTTATTAATATCAGTTGGCATCATGTCATCACATGTTATTAATATCAGCTGGTATCATGTCATCACATGTTATTAATATCAGTTGGTATCATGTCATCACATGTTATTAATATCAGTTAGTATCATGTTATTAATATCAGTTGGTATCATGTCACCACATGTTATTAATATCAGTTAGTATCATGTCATCACATGTTATTAAAATATCAGTTGGTATCATGTCATAACATGTTATTAATATCAGTTGGTATCATGTCATCACATGTTATCAATATCAGTTGGAATCATGTCATCACATGTTATTAATATCAGTTAGTACCGTGTCATAACATGTTATTAATATCAGTTAGTATCATGTCATCACATGTTATTAATATCAGTTGGTATCATGTCATAACATGTTATCAATATCAGTTGGAATCATGTTCATGACTTGTTATTATTTTTTTAGCATCATGTACATTGCTTGTTATATATTCATCAGTTGTCATCATGTTCATCGGTTTCTGTCATGTTTATCAGTAATGATTATCATGTTCTTTCTATCATATTAATATCAAGTGAATCACATTGTGTAATAATGACATGTCACAGGTTTCCTTAATATTACATTTTTAAAGAGAAACTTCAATGAAGGTCAATAAATCTCCTAAAAACTTAAAATTGAAAATTCTCTCCTTTATGATGTTATATAAAGCAATAAATCAAAATGAAGTCATAAACATTCTTATCAAATTTGATTAACTGTATGTATATCATAAATAATCATAATGTAATATCATAAATATATCAAAATAGGCACACTTTCATTTTCTCATATCTTTGACCCTTAACCAAAATTTATCTAAGATAGTTAAGGCATTAGATTTAGTTATAATGTAAAGCAGAGAGGGTTAAGCCCAGAGGATTAAAGCTGCCATGTTCTCTCGTAGTAAAAATGTGAAATTTGTATATAATAGCAGCTTTAATACAGATTCTGATGAATCAGAAGAGGAAATTCCTATTGTGGAACATCAGGTGGATAGCTTTAATTTTTGTATGTTATTCTATTATATGGCATTATAAAGAGTTCATACATGAGATTTTTTTATTTGGTCCTGAATTGTTAATCAAAAATGTTAATCAAGTTGTAATTTTCAATGATCACATTTTGAGGACAGGTTGTTGCTCAACCAGTCAGTGTGTTTGAACTTTATGACATCATTTTCTGGATTACATTAGAATGATGATGATTGTGGATTCTAATCTTGGAATAATATGAAAATCTGATGAATTTTAGTTGACTGATTATGAATTGGTACCATGTAAATAATACAGTAGAGATCATTGTCAAAAGGTTTATTCAAGGATAAACTAAATGAAAGGGTTCTTAAGAACAAAAGTTGTTATCTTTGAGCATTATGCATACACTCTACTTCTAGCTAACTTCTAAATTATATAACTAGCATCTATGTATATTGTAATGATTTTCGCCATAATTCAAAGAAAGATTTCAATTTGATTAACCTTAGTGATGACTGTCTGGCAAAGTAAGTGTAGTTTGTGGAAAGGAGCTTTGCTGTCCTTGTCTTCATTTATTTACGGTCCAGCTTAAGCTATTTTATAGTTGTTGATTTGACTACATTTTCCAGTCATGTCTGACATTATCTGAATACTGATTTTTTGATTATGACATGGTTATATAGTATTATGTATAGAAATATTAAAACAGAACCTACAAAAATCATGTTGTTTCTCAGAGTTTCAACTGTACAGTAGGCCTATTAGCACACAAGGATTTTTCAGATGATCCTTTCAAATTAGATATGAATTTATATATGACAGAATGTGAAAACATAAATCAAAAATTATTTTTCTCAAAAAAGGTCAATATGAGGTATTCTATCATATTTAAATTTCTTATATTGCATTATAGAAGATATCACACCATTTTAAAAAGTTTCTGTAATTATTAAGTTGAGTTATCTCCCTTTAGTCTTCAGACTTTCCTACAAAATTAAAATAATCTTACTCACAGAACGCAATATAATATTAACTTGTCATCTAACTTCTACAGAATCTAAAGAATTAGGACAACTCTAACAAAAATACCTAAGACCAGTTGTCAAACTTTAAAATGATTTATAAAAGACAACTTTGAACAGAACAAGTATTTTTAGTGCTCCCTTGGTCACCTTCAATTCAATTAGGCTCATTCTTTATTATTATATTTCTTTATTTTAGGCTGATGTAGCAGAAATTACAGGGAAAAGAAGAAAAAGTTTTTCTAATCCTGAAATTGTTGAAAAGTGAGTTGAGTTTCTTTTTAACAATGTTGTGGGAGTCTCAAATATCTGACTAAATTTTAACACCAGTTTCTCGAAAAAGTAATTCTTATATTTTGATTTACTAATAAATAAATCAAGTACTTACGATCCGAACCACAAAACGAAACCCGAAGTCCAAAACAACATATTGATGAAATATTGATAGCAGTAATTTTCGAATATTCATATTACCAGATTGTATACAATTGGGGTTTAATAATGAGTACTTAAAGATAAAAAAAATCTAAATTAAAAGCATTAGCTTATTGGATTCCCTTAAATCCATCCAGAGTTGAAAAAAACAAGTTCTTGGCGTCCAGAAGGATCAGTATGAGCTGCCTTGCTTGCAGCATCCGCCCAAATGAATATTGCAGCTGATGATGTTAAAAAAAACAGTTGCCTGAAATTTGAATGTCTGGTTTGTATTGATTATTAGATAGTATAACTGTAAAATATAAACAGGAAATGGTTTAATCAGTTACCTTAGTTACAAGTAAACAATTAAATTGATATCATTAAAAGTCACTACAGAGCATATTACAACTTTTGTTAGGAAAAAAATAGCAATTTAAACTCAGTCTAAATCAATGAATGATAGATTTAGAGGCTGTTTTTGGTTAGATTTACAGTTATCAGAGATGAGCTGACGATAATCCTCTCTCTCATTGAACACAAAATTCTTATTCTTATTCAAAGTCATTGAATGTTTTACATGATTGTCCATTAAGTGAGTAATATTTGTTTGATGGACATTGTACCATATTTAATGTAATAAGAATCATGCAATGTTGTATCATGATCCTTTGATTCAACTATATATCCTGCCAGCACATATTGTGCCTTTTTCGACCTTTGTGGCACAATTGTTTAGAACATTACAATCTTGATGTTAGTAGTATGGTTATGTTGACCAAATGGTGTTCATGGATTCCAACCTCTGTCATGCATTCAAGTTGACCCAACTTTAGATGGGTACGGATAATTCGAAAAGATCAATGTTAAGCAAGAGATTTGGCTAAGGATCAGCTGCTGGAACTCAATTTTTATCCTTGCTTACAATTTGTTCCCTTATCCTGTTTGATAAATTATAAATTTTATTCAAGATACTTTAAAGGACTTGAAAATACATTTTTATCTACTTTAATAGAAATTTAATAAATTGATAAACAGAGTCTAGTGTATTATGACCCTTCTTTTTTCCAATAAATAAAACAAATCAAATGATATGAGCTAAAAAAATAGAAAAGAACAAGATATATTGAATTGGCATGTAATAAATGATATGTAGTGATATTTAGTTGAAGTGACAAGAGATTACACTAATCCTGTTTAATCCCAATATCTATTATTGATATTGATATGAGTGAATCCATGAAACCACCCTGAATAAAGATATTAGATTAGGAAAATCAATAGAAATGAAAGGAGAAATCTTGTGATAATCTAATTAAGGAAATCTTGTGGAAAAGTGGCATGTGAAAGAGGGAATATATTTTCAGCTCTCAGCAATGCCCAGGTTTGTATTTATATTAGTGTTTTGTTGGTGTTAGACCTTGGTAGCTATTATTTTAGACAACTTTACTATGTTCAGATGTCCTGTACCTAATGATGATATAATGGTAGCCTTCTTCTTCATCTTTACTGATATCCTTTTTTGAGGCATGATAAACAAAATAGTGTTTGTCCATTCGCAAATGCAATGATGAATCTGTTTCCAGCCCAGTTCTACTCTTTATTTCTTTAGAAGCGTGTTCCTCATTATATCATCTGATATTTGATATTCTCATCTGGGCAACCAGTTATGATACAGGGTTAAATTCTAATATCATCAACAAAAAGAATATTCCATAGTATGCAGTTTGACCTCAATCAAAGTCTATTTGAGCATCTGACAGAATATTTTAACTTCATGATCTGCGCAACTGCCAAATGTGATTCTTGTTGAAATATCGGAAGGTCTATAATAGCTAACCCTCCATATTTAAAAATTCATATCAAAGGTCTGATGGTAGCCTTGATTTCTGTAAAGTAAGAAATTGCTCACAAACAATCATCAAGATTGTTTATTCCATTGTTCACAATTATTGTATTATACAGGCATGGTATTGTTTACTGTGTGTAAAGTAGGTATTATTGTTTGGTTTATTGCCCTGTGTCAATTAGATATAATAGGTTTTTAAACTGTGAAAATTATTAAAATGACATATCAATATCTACAGAATTTTTGTCAAAAAGTATTTTATTAGAACACAATATATAGAACATAAATTGTACATGAAATTGAAGGAACTTAGAATGGAATCTAGTATTATTAATATGTATGATCCAACCGAACATAGATGTGAAATTATTCATAAAATTAGGTAAGAAGTAATGATTTTTATGATGTTTTTCTATAGAAATACATTGAAATGGATTTTTAAGTCATACTTTTCGGTTGTTGCTATAGAATGATCTGATCAAACAAAACAATAGTTGAAGTTGAAGGCTGCAACTTTTGTTGACTACAAACTTTAAAACTTGTGTAGTTTGAGCAATATTTGAATCAATTATTACTGAAAACAAAAGTTATTAGTATAAAAATCTTCTGATCTGCTGTGCTGAGAAACCCAATCACTTGATGGCATCAGATGTTCCATTTAGTGCAGTATGCTACAGTGCTCATTAAGAGTTATAAGCAAAGTCTTCAATTATATAAGAATTTATATTTTTCACTAAGTTTATTCTTATAAAGGTTTGGATGTTGGACAACCCAATTGCAAAGTGGCACCAGGTTTTCTTGGACCTTTTTTTTTCGCCTAGCACAGAAATGTATTAAAAGTTCTTCCAGAAAGTGCTTCTATACAATGTAACAGTGAATAATGAATGTACTGCAAAACAGTTTGGCATAATTACTATAATATACTCTCTTTGCAAACCCAGTCTCAGGGTGTTTCTGAAGAGTGCTCATATAGTTGTTTTGACTCTAAATACTGATGTTTGCTCAATACATGTGTATTATATAAGACATAGTCTGAATAGAAACTTTAAAAATATAATATACATGTAGATAGTGTTTTATTTTAGCAGGGGTCAATATATTATCTACCTGACAAGATAGGGTGGGGCTATATAATATATAAACACACTATACTGTATATTATTTGTTACCAGTGAAAACACTGGTCTCTATTTGATTAGTCAATTGTTGTATTACCTCTTTTAATCATATTGAATAAATTTGAGTTACAATCATGGTGAAGAGTATTGGGTTGTTCTGTAGAAGGGGAAGAGTGGGTAGAGCAGAGAATGTTAGGGGTGGCTATTCACTTTTCAATAGCTTCAACTAAATATGCATCACCCTCCCAATGTACATGTATGTACTGACAGTGACACTATTCTTGAGTCAAAATTCAATACAACCTGAAAAGTTACAGTTTCTAGGTAAATTGTGCTTGAAGGACACTGGGCACAGAATAATTGAGGAAAGTGACATGGTATTGTGTTTCATTCAGCACAATTCTATCATTTTGATATTCCTTATCATTTTTAACACAAGTCATTAAACATGAAAAGAATCTCAAGTTAGTGAAAAAAATGGCAGAGCACACACATTCATTGTCTCTAATTGAACATCACAACTGTCTTTTTTTGTTTCTTGTCAGACTTGTAGATAGGTGTTTGATTTATGTAACCTCTCTATTTTCTATAATATGACTCTATTTTCTATAATATGACTCTATTTTCTATAATATGACTCTATTTTCTATAATATGACTCTATTTTCTATAATATGACTAATTTTGAATATTTTTGAGGTGCCAAAACACTGAGGCTATTACTTGGACCTGTTCCAGGATGTCAAAAACTGTGTAAAAATGTTCCTTGATTGTGGAGTGTCATGTCTTCAATAGTACTTGAACCATGTTATTGAATTCTAAAATTTTTGAACTTTTTATCAAATGCTTTGGGTTCTTAGACTGTTAATGTTGATATTACGTACATGATCAATTAAATCTTTGCTTGATAGATTATTTCTGATAGCCCTTTCTTATAGATCAGCCTATATGTGGCCAACCATATCTATCTAATACTATTTTCCCATTATTACTGTTCAAACCCCTATCTTCAATCTCACTCATATAGAATCATTATGATCGATTGATTTTTTTCTTATCTGTCTTTTCACCTTGGATTAAAAATAATGATTTATAATTGTTTAATGACATTAACTCTGGAATGGACTGATAGCTCTTATTACATTACTTGTCTGGAATTTTAGCAGACTTTCTTGGAGTTATTCCTGCAATAGTGAAATATGTCGCGATTGTCTTTTATACATAATATAAAAGCTGTTCAGTTATTAGATCAAAATGTGTAAGTTTATATTAAAGTTTTGTCATTAATGGTAAATAGTTTCCTGTGGAGTTAAAGTGTGGAATTACAGTTGTCTAAATATTTACTCTACCAGCTGATAGATTAAAGTTTCATACAAAACTTCTCAAGATTACAATATGACATTTGGTTCCATTAAGATTCAACAAAAATGTGCAGTGGAAGTTTACATTGCTGGAACTGCAATAATAGTTGTTGTTTTTCTCACCAAGATCAGGAAATTTCATTCCATTTCTGAAAAGTGATTTAAATGGTCTTTGTTTCAACTGGTAGTAAAATTTTGATTCTGAAAATTTATATAATTTATGATTTAGATCTATCAAAATAATTAAACAACTATGTTTTAAACAACATATAGGGGGTAGAGATCTCATTTGATAATTGAATATAATTTTATTATAAATAATACGTCTAGGTATTGTCTCCAACATTTCAACAATTTATATTGTCATCATCACAACATTTCAACAATTTACATTGTCCTCATCACAACATTTCAACAATTTACATTGTCCTCATCACAACATTTCAACAATTTACATTGTCCTCATCACAACATTTCAACAATTTACATTGTCATCATCACACAGTTTCAACAATTTACATTGTCATCATCACACAGTTTCAACAATTTACATTGTCATCATCACACAGTTTCAACAATTTACATTGTCATCATTACACAGTTTCAACAATTTACATTGTCATCATCACACAGTTTCAACAATTTACATTGTCATCATCACACAGTTTCAACAATTTACATTGTCATCATCACAACATTTCAACAATTTACTATCTAAAATTGCTATTTTGACTAATTTTTGATTTCAGTTTTCAAAGAGAGAAGAATGTGAGATTAGAACAAGAAATCAAATTAGAACATTTGGAACAATTGATGGAAGAATTCGATCTTCATGATCCTGAAGATATCTTGGTGCCAGCAGAATCAGGATATTTCCCTCCTAAATTAGTGAAAAGAGTTCCAGGATGTATGAATGTCAAAGAGTTTCAGGATACTATTGCTAAAGTTCTAGAAACAGAAGAATATAATGATTACCTGGGCAAATTATTTACAAAGGTAAGTTTTGGCTTACTTGTCCTTTCTATGGTAAAGACTATATGAATTCTGTATAGATTTTGAGACATTGATGGATTTGATATAAGTGATAGATATATATACAATAAGTGCCAGATGATTTTTGTAATCTTTCCAATATCTATTTACCTGAAAACTCAATGACCATTCAGTTCATTATACTTTACAATACTTTAGATAGCCAATTATCTTTGTCAAGATATTTCTTACATCATTTCCCCCTCACCATTATATTTAAGTGGATATAATTATTGATGTATTTATATTATTATAGTTAGATACATCCTGTGATGGTTATGTAGACTGGGATGAATTCTGTACCTATATGTTATTATTATACCGAGAAAATGACTATATACGTAGTAAGAAAGAAATACCATTTCTACAAGAACCTAAAATTAGACATATAGTACCAAATAAGGTAGGCTTAATTCTATTAGTCCTTTGATTAAGCCTATAAAATCTTGAGTACAGCTTCAGAAATGTGGTGCTTTTTAGGCCATTAAAGTGATATACCTGTATAGTTATTCAGTTGACCACTGTATAGAGCTCAACTTTATTTAGTTTGATTATTAATTTCTAAATTACACAACTACATCCTTTTAGATCCAGGTATGTATTATTTACAAATATTTTATGTCCTATTTTTCTGCACCATGTGAGCTAATCAAGACGGACAACGCCATGCAGGGTACAATAAGGAAAATTTTGCCAGGACAGCGGTATCAGTCTGCTCTTTTTTTGATTTCCCACTGTCAACGGATCTTTAACATGCACAGCCTTTAGCACACTAGGCCTCAGTTTATTGTCCCATCCAAACAACTAGACGCTTTTTCCATGTCAGCCCCTCTTGCCTGCATAACTGACAGGGATAAACCGGGTTGAAAATCTGAAGGTATCATCTTGACCTATGCTGGGATTGAACTCTGGACCTTCAAGTTAGCGAGCAAACAAATATTTGTGAAACTTAATGATCACATATCTTTCATCAGAAAAAAGTCATACATGCTTTCTGAACACCAAGATTGCACTTTTCGTGTTTTTTTCTGTGAATCATTAAGTATGGATTGAAAATGAAGTTTTCCAGATAAAAGACACAGTACAAAGTACTCTTTCTTATTCTTGCATATTACTGTTAATTTTCATGGTTATCTTTATGATTTATATCATTTATATTAATGTTAGATTGTTTGTATGAATTATATATATATTCCCTGACATGTATATATATTATTTTCAGCAAGAACAAACTACTAGAATTTTGTCAATTGATAATCCAACCAGATTTGTAACGTTAAGTAGAGTAAGTTAATTTTTGCCAAATTGTTATGATTTTATTTATCAGGTCCCTATGTAATTTGATTTTTGAGTTGGTTTTCTTTTATGTATCTCATTACTTCAATATTGTTGCAAGAATGGTACGTTGTGGTAGATAAATTTTTCAAACTCATATTCAACAATTTTAATCTGTCATTGCAGAATTATCTCCCTTTAGTCTTCAGATTATTTAGTAAGTAGCCCAATGAATATTTTTGCTTGTATTGTAGGAAGGAGCTTTGTCAGTATGGAGTGTTAACATGCAGTTTGATAAATCTCACACTATACCAGAAGATGATGAGGAGAATCAGAAGAGAAGGTTTAAGATGTGGGTCACTGATGCTGTTTACATGCCTAACTGTCATAAACTAGCCATTTGCTCTACTAGTAGAGATATCAGATTTTATGATGTCTCTGCTACCTCCTTTTTTGAAGAGTTCCATCTTTTTGGTAAGTTTCATGGGTGTGAACTAGACTAGGGTGATTATCGATAGTATTTTTACTTTAAAGAGATTTTGCACCTATTCGCCCAACAGACAACAATCCAAATTGCAGCCAACTCCATATTAGGTAACCATGGTTACAAAACAGATCCCTACAAATGAATTTTGAAGAATTCCCATTTATCAGAGAAAATGAATTTCATTAGCTATTGTCTGTAATCGCTTATTCTTGTTGTTTTTTGTAATTTCAGCTATGACTGATGTGCCATATTGTTTAGATTACTGGTATGACCAAAGGGTGAGCACAATTTGTATATTGTTATTTGAGGATGACCATTATAATATTTCAATATTTTTGAATTGTTAAATGGAAAAAATGGTGGTGTGAAAGTCCAATAAATTTCGATAAATTATTGTGCCTCAGTGTTCCAGTCAACCCAGCTGTAGGGATAATCCAGGAAAGATCAATGCCAAGATGTTTGGCTTGTAGACAGGATCTTTCTTTCCTTTTTTCTTTAAACCATCTAAAATGACGTTTTCTTTGAATCATTTTAATTTCAGAATTCCAGTCGTAGTTCATTATTAATATTTGGTTTAGATAATGGTGATATTTCTTTATTAAAATTTAAAAAACCTGCTACTCAGTTATTTGAAACAACTTTTCTCAGTGAGGGTGGAGCACAGAAAATATTTATGCAGGTAAATCTGTTCATTCCTTTTTCATCCCAACTGTAGGTAGAGAAGTGTAGTAAAATTGTCATGAGGCCTTTTGTTCTCTGTGAGCTTTACTTTAACATTTTGTATACTTCTTACTTCATTATCAAATTTGACCAATCACTGATTATGTTACACCTTAGATTGAAGAAATTTACTAAATTGTCTTAAATCGCTAAATGGATGTTACCTTAGTGTTTTTTCATTGGGTGGCTCCACCTCCCATCCATGATCTGACGCAATTGCTGTGCACCTCCTGTTTGGGTCATAAATATTCAACCAATCAAAAGGGCTGTTCAATAAAGTTGTAAAGTTATGTAAAAAAAATGTAAAGTGTATTCTAACTATTCTTTGTTACACTTTGACTTTTTATAGTGTTTTTGTGCTGATATGTCAAAATTACACCAAACAAGATTTACTAAAGAATTATGTTAGATCATGGATGGCAAGTGTATTGACCTGCAGAAAAAACATAGCATTTTAATCATATTGACTTTTTTGACAGGATTTACCACAACATTCAAAATGGATGACACATAAAGTATTACCCAAGATTCATCCAGAAATGATACGACAAGTTCGATATTTACCTGATAATGATGCTATCATATCATCTAGTGGATCTTCACGATCAGCTGTAGTAATAGCAGACGTCAAAGGCTTAAAGAAAAATTATGTTTTCAGAATAGAGAAGGTAATGTCATCATTAAGTTAATAAATATCCTATATGAACAAAGGGGTGCCAAGTTGACAAACCCAATTGCACCTGTGGCATCGAGTGTTTCAAAGTGTGGGAATGTCCTATCCTACTTGTTTTTCAGATGCAAAATACATGATGAAAGCTAGTTTTGAATGAGGGTATTTAATTTAAACCGTCATAGATATGAAGGGATAGGGCTAACATGGAATAGGGTCATAAATCATGGATCCATGAGCTATAGGCTGTTCATTTCAAAGACAGATAAAGATCTAATTAGGGACCACTGTCAAGGCCAAAATTTTCTATCAAAGCACATAGCATTGTATTTCTCATCTTCTTCATCAAAAAGGATGATGAAAAACTTAATTTCCTTTCATTACATAATCAGTAATTAATATTTGATATATTTATTGCAGGGTGTAGAATGTTTTGATCATAATAGGAATCTAAATATTCTAGTAACAGGTAGTATGGATCATTATATTAGAGTGTGGAATCCCTATGTTACTAGTAAACCAACAGCTATATTATCAGGACATTCAACTGGTGTAATAGGAGTGGTTATACATGAATCATTTGCCCAAGTTTTTAGTTACTCTAAAGATGCTGTAAGTATAGAAAAAAATAGCAAAACTATTCCATCAATCAAAATCTCGTCCAAAGTATGCCATTATCAAGAGTAGAAGTTGTATAGTAGTGGACTCCTCCAAAGAGAAGTACCATCAGGTGTTTAAAAAAAAAGCATGGTCTGCTAATAGTAGGCCAATACCAAAATACAATCAGATCAATTTATGCCTGACCAAGCAAATCAGCAAACAGATTTATAATCTTTGTCTAGAAGAATTGATCTCAGGGAGAGTCTTGTCTACCAGTCATCAGCTTGTTAGTATGTAATACATGTAAACATGGCGAATAAATGATATCAGATAAGTCGTCTCTTCAAAAGGAATACAGAGTTAACAAACCTTAAAGTTGCAGAGTTGACTAACCCAGTTGTAGAGATGACATCATGTGTTCTGGTAGCGAGAGCTCTCTTTCAGAAAGTTGAAACTTTCTATATACATGATTATGTCTGTTACAGGTCATAAAAGTTTGGGATGTAAAAGAACAAACATGTGTTCAGACAATAGTATTAAAATTTCCAAGCAGTATACATGGTCGTATGCCAGAACATGGTCAGTTCCCTATCCACCTTCAACCAACACCACATAATAGTTTACTAGTAACTTGTAATGACTATATTGGTATGATGAAATTAGGTAAAGGTGCTGAACCTCAGAGTGTAATGCCATTGACACATGATACTCAATTGTGTTGTGCTATCTATAACCAATTCTTTAAACAGGTGAGTTTTTGTGTACATTACACTTGCTATGTCTCTCTCTATGATTTCAGATTAAAAGGTACCCTAAAAACTTTAGTACTTTAGTAGTTATCTGTACATTACTTTTATGTCAATAGATACAGTAACAGTGTGATTTTTCCTGTATAGTAGTTTGTTATATTGAATTAATTGAATCAGTGTGTGATTTGTCCTTTATAGCAGTGTGTGATATTGAAACTGGTAATGAAGCTATATTATATTATAGGTAGTAACAAGGTGTGATTTGTCCTGTATAACAGTGTGTGATATTGAAACTGGTAATAAAGTTATATTATGTTATAGGTAGTAACAGGGTGTGATTTGTCATGTATAACAGTGTGTGATATTGAAACTGGTAATGAAGCTATATTATATTATAGGTAGTAACAGGGTGTGATTTGTCCTGTATAACAGTGTGGAATAATGAAACTGGTAATAAAGTTATATTATATTATAGGTAGTAACAAGGTGTGATTTGTCCTATATAACAGTGTGTGATATTGAAACTAGTAATAAAGTTATATTATATTATAGGTAGTAACAGGGTGTGATTTGTCCTGTATAGCAGTGTGTGATATTGAAACTAGTAATAAAGTTATATTATATTATAGGTAGTAACAAGGTGTGATTTGTCCTGTATAACAGTGTGTGATATTAAAACTGGTAATAAAGCTATATTATATTATAGGTAGTAACAGGGAGTGATTTGTCCTGTATAACAGTGTGTGATATTGAAGCTGGTAATAAAGCTATAGTATATTATAGGTAGTAACAGGGTGTGATTCGTCCTGTATAGCAGTGTGGGATATTGAAACTGGTAATAAAGCAGTAGTATTTTCCAATGCCCATGGTGAAGAAGAGATAACTACCATGGTCTTTGATGATAATTGGAGAAGACTAATCACTGGTGCCAGAAATGGTAGCATTAAAGTAAGTGTACAGTTTTTTTTTGAAGATGAAGATTGAGATATTGTTGATTTTCAGTGACAAAGCAGAGAATACAAACCTCCTATGTTGATCGAAGTAAGTCATCACTTTTTACCCTCATTTTAGGTATGGAATTTTCAAAATGGACACAACCTCCATAAGCTAGAAGCTGCAGCTGATGCAGAAGTGACTGGTATATTACCTATTTTAGATAAACGAGTTATTATGGCTGTAGGTTGGAGTCAACAGATAACTGTATATGATGATTCAGACCAAGATGTGAGTATCCTTAATTTGATGCTCAGAGCTGCCTGGTGGTTTGGTTCCTGTAAAGCTTGAGTTTGGTAAGCTTGGTCTGTAAGTTGAAATGGGAAAAGTCACCATCATTCAGATGTGACAATAAATCGAGTGCCTTTTTGCTGCAGACTGTACATGTTAAAGAACATTCAACAATCGAAAAGAGATTATTTAAGACTAATATTGCTGTTCTAAGAAGCTTTCTCTCATAGCTTACTTTTTATTGTTGCACTTTTTTTTTAAGCCTATTAGGATCTTTGTTTTTTCCTATTACAATTCATTCTATCTGATGAATGAGTCTTAGAGGAATTGTTGTGTTTGATATTGAACTATTGATAATATTATTGGTGAAATGTTATAACAGATTCTTTGTCAACTCTGTGAGATATAGAGTATAGTTTTCCCTGGTGGCTCTTGATTCTGCACCTTGCAATCTACTGAAATTTAGACTATTATTCATTCAAAAGTTAAGTCACAGTATCGTAATCCATACTGGTGGTACTGGTGGATTCATTAAATTTTCTCTTATAGAATATGTATATACCAGCTAGTAATGATTGGAAAGGTGGACAGATCCACAAGGAAGATATATTAGCTATAGATAAATGTTCTCCCAGCTTTATCGCTACTGGTAGTTTTGATGGTGAAATTATCATCTGGGATATTGAAACAGAAAAACTCTTTATTAGGTTACGCAAAGGACAACCTCCTGATCTGTAAGTACCTATTGATGTTCTTTGAAGACCTTGCCTTTACTGATTATTAGGGTTTCAGTGATGGTCATGAATCTAAGCCAATGTGCACAAGAGTATAATGGTATTAGGTTGCAGTAATATATAATGAAAGGGGGCTGTAGCAAAGAATGTAAGAATGTTGAAACCTTAAAGTTTCCTGTCTGACCAGAGTGCCTGCTATCCAAACAAATATTTTAGTAAACAATTATCATGAGGTCAACAACCTGTGCGTAAGTAATCCTGGATTATACATTACTTCCAGATCTGATAAAATAGAAGATTTAACTTGTGCACCCTCTACAGCATCCAGTAAAAGTACCAGATCAAATTCTAAACACAGGAATACGCACAAATTAACAAAAGGGTAAGGATCTTAAATAGTCAGTAATTTAAGATGCACCAACATGACTGGAAATAACTGGACATCTAAAGCCACTACAAAAGTCTTATGACTATCATTATGATGGCCAGTACTTTGTTGGAAGTGGTGCAAAAGTTTGAAAACCACTGGGTATGGCATCTGATGTTCCCCTACTTTGACTGGGGATTTTTACCAACATAAATAAATTGCCAATCCATCTGCCCACAAAATAGCGGTTTTTCAACCAAACTTGAGAGGAAAGTATTGACGTAACACAGTTCATTTACATAGTTAAATCATACACTTTTTAACTGTTATTCTTACTTCTAATTTAATCTCATTTCTGTTTTCAGTCAAACAGCTCCTGTAGATAAATTAATGTTTCTGAGAGCCAGGGCTGCAGCAGCTAGATTTGATGAAGGTGCTATATTAGTTTCTAGTGAAGCTGGAGTGCTAAGATTTTGGAGTATTTACGGACAGAAAAAAGAAATTGGTAATAATTTTATATTATGTTATGTTATATAATTGCGAGTTATATTTATGTATCTTTGTATATTCTGGGTCAATAAATAATACATTTCAGTCTATCTAGGTCATTGCAATAAATGACACATTTCAGTCTATCTAGGTTATTGCAATAAATAATACATTTCAGTCTATCTAGGTTATTGCAATAAATGACACATTTCAGTCTATCTAGGTTATTGCAATAAATGACACATTTCAGTCTGTCTAGGTTATTGCAATAAATTATACATTTCAGTCTATCTAGGTTATTGCAATAAATGACACATTTCAGTCTATCTAGGTTATTGCAATAAATGACACATTTCAGTCTATCTAGGTTATTGCAATAAATGACACATTTCAGTCTGTCTAGGTTATTGCAATAAATGACACATTTCAGTCTATCTAGGTTATTGCAATAAATGACACATTTCAGTCTATCTAGGTTATTGCAATAAATGACACATTTCAGTCTATCTAGGTTATTGCAATAAATGACACATTTCAGTCTGTCTAGGTTATTGCAATAAATGACACATTTCAGTCTATCTAGGTTATTGCAATAAATTATACATCTTGGTCTATCTAGGTATTTTACTTGTATGTTATCGGTTATTTGTATGTATCTTGCATGTTATTTGTATGTATCTTGCATGTTATTTGTATGTATCTTGCATGTTATTTCTATGTATCTTGCAGGTTATTTCAATGTATCTTTCAGGTTATTTCTATGTACCTGATAATGAAGATGAATCAGTATTAGGTATGTGTGCTCGATATAATGATTCAACTATTGTAACTGGTGATACACATGGTGATATCAAGATATGGAATATCAAAAACTACTGCACTAAACCACAAGAAAAGGTAAACATCATAAGCACTTATAGCATGTTTTGCATTTTAAATGTGATAAATAGTCCATGAAACCACAAAAATTTATCAGTTTTTCACAGGCATTTGTTGTCTACTTAAGATCAATATTGTGATATTTGAATTGAGAGTTATTCACTAAACCAAAAATGCTTTGTTATAAAGTTAAACATAGCTGAACATCTCAGCTCAGTTGTCTGAAGATCGCAGAGTTTGAAACTCAATGATTCAAATTCTGTTTTAGTATTTTTCTAAATCGCTCCATAATTAATGTAATGAGCACTATTTTAACAGTGAAATATTTTGTCATAAATAAATTTTAATTTTATGAAATATAGAGAGTTAAAAGTAAGCCACCATTAGAAGCCCATTGGAAAGGACATGATGGATCAGTAGTAAGTGTAGACTATATTGATCATGATGATGGTGTATATATATTGTCAGCGTCTACTGATAAAACTGCTAGATTATGGTCCACTAAAGGACATTATATTGGTACATTTGGTCAGGTAAATATGTAACTTTGTGTATGTACCAGGGGTTCTATTACCAGTGCTGTTTATTTACGGAAGTAATCAAAAGATATAACATACAATATTAACACCGTGATATTTTGTAAGTGACAATTTTTTTAATGCACTTTAAGAATCAATGTGCAAAACAGAAATACATAATTTTAATACAAACAAATAGCAAAATTTTGGATACAGTATTATTTAACAGTATATAATGTTGTTATTTCTCCTTTAGAAACAACCGTGGGATTTGAAACATCCTTCCACTTGGATGCATCCTAAAACACCTTGGAGTATTTTAGATGAGGAAAATCTAGGTTAGTCAGTATTATATGATATTTTATAATATTAAATTTCACTATTTGAAAGCAACCTTCTAACTGATTCTGTACCTCGTTGCTTCTGTTTCTTATTAAACGACTGGTAAATGTGTAAGTGAGGGGACATCTCTTTAGTCAGTGTTAAATAGATTTGGATACAACAGTTGTAATTTTGGATTCCGCTGGAAGCGGAAGTATAGATATTGCCAGTACTGACGATACTAGGCATATCTGAAAACTTCATATTTTCCATCATAGTATCTCAGTATACAGTGAATACCGCTCAAGCGTCCACCTTTATTAAGCAATATGCGACCGCAATAAAGTCCACTCTACAACTCTGAAATATAATAATTGAGTGATAAGCGACCACCTTCAAGGCTACGCTACCAGTGACAATGTATTTACACTCCCTTGTATATGAAGAAGTCATTTCATTGTCTAACTCTAAGTTAATGGAATCCAGTGTGATTTCATATAATTGCCTGTACGTGATAAACCTAGAACTTGACTGTGGTGTATTACTAGTATATAAGTATTAAACTTGTTAACTGTTAACTTGTATTATAAATTGATGCTTAAAGGCAAATGATATTACTCAAGTCATTTGATATTTATAATGAACTTGTGGAACATCCTGATTGTCAAATGAAGAAATGTAAATGCCAATGGGATATCTTACTGGGAAATAAGTACAAATAATTTTCTAAGACGCCTAGGTTTTATATGCATTACTTTCTAATGCTGGTGGGGCATTTCAAAATGGGTAACTCCATTAAGTAATTGAAAAGAGACAATTTGCAGTCTTAAAGAAATTTTGCTTTCATTATCGTAATGTAAAGTGCACAGAATATGCACAAAGATCTTGGGTTTAGTTTATTCTGCCCATTCCAATATCAAAACCCAGATCTCTAGCTTTCAAAAATTTTCTTTTTTTTTTGATTTGATAAATTTACCAAAAAGGACAAATCAATATTTTGAAGCTCGTAAAATGCTGCTATAAAACCATCAAATTGGTGATGATTTCCCTTTTATCTAGATGATGACATGCAAGTGAATTTAGATCAAGAAAACACCACATTAACAGAAGGTGATACAGTAATATCAGAATATGATGAGCTATCAGTAGTAGATGATGATGCTACAGATGGAAGGCCTGACACTATTGATGTTACACACCCTAATGCCGAGGTATATCAGTCAGTTGTGCTGTATCTTTTAGTTAGCCCATTGCTTTACACGATAAAATTACACGTAGCTCCCTTTTAGATTGTCAGGGAAGTCACCACAAACTTTGCAGACACATGTTATAGGTAACTCCTTCGATTTCATCTCGACACTCCTTTAGGCTTGTCAATCAAGGTGACTTATTTGCTTAAACTTTGTACTTGGGAACAGGAGATCTGTACCGAAGTGCTCATGATATCTTGTAGCTACAGTACCACGTTACAATACAAATGGAAGTATAGCCAACATTACAAACAATTCAGATGATAACAAAAATTATTATTGTCTCCCATAGTGTCCTTTTTCCGACCAAACAAACACATATCCCTTTTAGATTTGCACTAAGCACTATTCACGCACCTTTTAGTTTAATTGCACTAACTTCATGCACTGTTTTGCACCTAGATTCGACCACAAACCATTAGTGTGAGCACCAAAGCTAGAGTAAAAACTTCTGAATTTCCAAGGGATAAGAGACTACAGTATAGATCTCAGACGTATCCTACAGGATTTGATAAATCAGATCCAACTAAGGTAGCTCTTTATATGTATATATTGAGATAATAGGCACGTATGAGATTGAAATGGTGATTTTGATTAAAAGCTAGTCGAGAGGGAAATATCAGATTTTCAACCAAGTTTATCCTTCATAAATTTGGATTGGATTGTATAAAGATCTTTTGTGCTTCAGGGTATGCAACAAGTTAATGATCCCTCAACTGTACAGAGATGATGGACATGTGTTGCTGTACTGACAATGGTATTCCCGTCGCACATTGCATGTCATTGCTTTATAAACTCCATGTATATTCTGTACAAACTTCAATATTTTTATATCAGCATAGGAATTTTAGCATCTTGATCTGCTGTGATGAAATTCTTATATACCATTTTTGTAGACATTCCTTGGAATGAAAGCAGAAAGAGACTTTGCTAGAAAGCAGCAGGATAGAAAAGGTAGAAGAAACCATTATGGTGAAATCAACTTTCAGGAAACTTCCCGATTTGGTAAAATTTGTTCACCATTTCAAGCATTGCAAACCCCTGTGAGTGTCAAGTCAATATATTAAAAATTTAGTCAAAACTATAAATTTCACAATTTTATGTCAACTTCATTCAAATGTAGACAAAAAGGTATTAAGGTAAGAAAATATAAATATACGTAAAACAAAAAGTTAAGCGCCACTAACTTTAATTCAGTATTTCTGGGACGTCGCGTACGTCGAAGAGACCCTCCTGTACAAACTGTAACAGAATTTGATGCACAATTGCATCAGGAGTTGCAAAAAAATTCCTCAACAGGACATTCAAAGACTGATACGTAGCATGCCTGATAGGGTTGCTGCTGTGATTAGTGCTAATGGGTCATACACTCGCTTTTGAATAAACACTGCTTTTAACCTAACATAACTTATACATACGTGCGGCTTATATTTGCAATTATATGGTATGTGAATTTCAAGTTGAGATATTATGTATTGTTTTATTTTCATTACCATTTATGTTTCAGGATGTTCCAGTTATAGAAATTCCTAAAAATTTACCTCTTAGTGAAAGAATGTTAAGCAAGGGTTATACTAGTGATAATTTAACAGTGGAAAAACTCAAAACCATGGACTTTTCTCATGGAGTGCCAGAAACTCTCGAAAATGAAGAACATCCCAATATAATGAAACCTGGCAGTCGTAGAACTTCAGATGAAAAACATTATGCTAAATTACCGCCAATAAAATCAGGAAGGTGGTCGCGGCTGTCATCAGCTAGTAAATCTAAAAAATTACCAACACTATCTTAGTTGGCTGATGAAGGAGCTCATCTTTTGCTTTCGGTAGGTTTAATAGCCCGAACTCGGGCGCTTAGTTCCCCTACAATTCACTAAGTAAGTTTCAAATATGGAATGTTGCTGAACTGAACTGTTTGGCATTAACTGTGAAAAGTGATCCGAATAGCTGATATTGAGTTCTTTAGGCTGGCGAAGACGTAAAACCCAGCTCCCTACATCATGTCTGATTCCAATCGCAGTAAAGCAGAGTTTACCATTTTACCTTACTATATTTAATCAATACGATATTGGTAATGTGTAAGATCTTCAGATACATATGAATGGACACGATGGTGCTCTGGGTCAGGCTTTACAACAAACTTAATTTGTGATATTTTAACAATAACTGTTATAAAGCATTCCGTGATTTTAAATGAAAAAAAAAAGTGACTACTTATTTTGTTATGAATATATTTTCATGTCGTCCATTTTATATGATATATTTTGTTATTATATATGTATTTTTGTTAAGTTTTTATATGAATTATGACAAAAAATCTCTTTTAATGGTTGTGAAAACACTTATTATTAAATATTTTTATATATTTCCATTCATACTGCCAGTTACAGCAATTCAAAATGCACAAAAGATAATGGCGCTCGATTCTATAGTAGCACAGGCCTACAACTTTCAATGGGTTAGGGTTATTTTAAACAAAGAGCAGAAGACAATATTATTAAGCACTCTGTAATCGCCCAGTCAAATCTAGCGTTTGAAGGTAGTGTAGCAATTTGTGTCCAAAAAATATACCTTTTTTGGACAAAGAAATGATTTTTTATGTGCTCACTTAAAAGCAGTCTGACTTGAAATAGTACATCGTATTTTGACAGGATTCTTCATACGCTCCTTGTAGATCTTCTGATAAGACAACCACAAACTCGTTCAGGAAAACAAATCTAAGGAAAAAGACGGTTGTAAACTTTTGATCATTCTCGATGACTCCAATGAATATCAGCTTTATGGTAGATTTAAAATTA